CACAGGGTCCTGCTTATTCCTGCTCTGTCCCTGTGATGCTCATGGTCTCAGGCTGACAGCAGCCCAGCATCAGCGGAGGGGTTAAAGGAGCTCCTGCTCCGTCTCTCCAGGGATTATGGATTGTCTCTACTTATCAAGTGCTTGGCAGTTCTTGGAAGCAAGACATGCTCTGATACAAAACACAGCATGGAAAAACCCATAACCCAGCCCATTCCCTCACCGGAGAGACACACTGGGACTCCAGAGAGGGATGATGAGGCTCTTTGGTCAAGATTCTGGGTTTTGATGAATAAAAGGAGATGCTTACGTTTGCCAGGAGATCCCACCTGGCAGCAGCTTAAGGGATCTCCTTTCAGAAGGCAGAAGCTAAGCACCCTGTAAACAGTTCTGAACCCCTGAACTTATGGTATCCCTTGGTGGGAGAATCCTATAACGGTGATTACGTGTTGTGGCAGTGCAGCGTTGTCCTCCCTGTTCAAAGTACTCCGTGATGTGGAGCTGAGATCCTCCAGCATCCACATATACCCCTGGCCATGAATCATTTCTCTGCAATAAGGAACTGAGTTGTGGCCTTGCTGGTAGTGGGGAAGGCAGAGGCACTGCTTGCTTGCACTCCTTCCCCTTCAAATTTGGGTGATCAGAACAGATCAGTGACACACAAAACTGTCTTCCACGTGAATTAGACTTGCCTTTTCTTCTGTGTGTTATTTTTGCTGTGCATATGTATAGAATGCACACATCCAGGTGTCCTTCCAGTGCCTAAAGGGGCTCCAGGAAACCTGGAGAGGGGCTTTGGACAAGGGATGTAGGGACAGGCCAAGGGGAATGGCTTGAACCTGCCAGAGGGGAGATTGAGATGAGCTCTGAGGCAGAAGCTCTTCCCTGGGAGGGTGCTGAGGCGCTGGCACAGGGTGCCCAGAGAAGCTGTGGCTGCCCCATCCCTGGCAGTGTTCAAGGCCAGGTTGGACACAGGGGCTTGGAGCAACCTGCTCTAGTGGAAGGTGTCCCTGCCTGGGGCAGGGGTTGGAGCTGGAGGAGCTTTAAGGTCCCTTCTACATAAACCACTCCGGGGTTCTGTGATTCTGATTCTGGTTTTTTCTGTACATACATGATTTTCTGCACAAGCATTTTCTGTAAGCATTTAATAACTCCAAGTGATTTCAGATCCTTTCCATATTGCTTTGTGTATGCACTTTTCAGTGCATCTTGAGTTCCTCACCGAAAACATAGAATCATAGAATGGTTTGGGTTGGAAAGGACCTTACGATCATCCAGTTCCAACCTCCTTCCATGAGCAGGGACACCACACACTAAACCATGTCACCCACAACTCTGTCCAACCTGGCATGTTTGGGCTGCTTTTTATTGGCCTCTTACAATCTAATAAACCATGAGTCCATTTAGCTCACAGGCATTATTTTGTACCCCAACATCTAAAATGCTGGCTCATGATCACCCAATTTTACGTACATTTCCCCTCCTGATGCTTCATTTTGGAGGTGTTGTGCTGTCTGAAGCACATGGGACCCACATACCCCAGCAATGTGGTGGCTTAGAGGGTTGATTGGCCCAACTATACCCAATATGTCCTTAAAACCAATATAAACCCTCCCGCCTCATGCAGCACATTGGTCATTGCAGGTTATTTCTCTGCTGGTGGGGTTTGGTGCCAAAACCCTGTATCAGATGGTTCCTCACACTCAAGAGGTGAGCTCAGGTGATGGGAGAAGCAGTGAAACAGCTCACTGGGTTCAAATCAGACAGAACTAAAAGATCACCTCAAATAAGTGTCCATATTCCTGGGGAAATCTGTGGGTTTTAAACACTTTCCATGCGTTTGAAAGCCAAGTGATGGGTTTCAGATGCATTTACAATTCCATTTCCCTTCTTGAAAAGGAAAAGGCTCTGCGGTGCGAGGGAGGGATGTTTAACATACCACGTCCAGGGCCTTTGTTGAATTAGAAGGAGCAAATATTTCCTTGAATAGAAAAACCACACATTTTTCTGGTTGCAAACAACCTTTTAACCCCATTCCCAGGGCAGGAAAACAATCCTGCAGGACCAGAGCTATAGAAGGGCAAAACCAAGGCATTTTGCTTGGCTTTCCTCCCCGTGGGGAATTAGTACCTTGTATTCATCAGTCAACGGAGGTTTCCTTCTGAGCCTCCTGATCTGCACCCACTAAGTAAGGCAAATCCAGATTAGGGTCTCTCACAGCAGAAATACTGGAGAGATCATGAGGGGAGCGCTTGGAGAAAGACACAGATGGGATTTACTGTGTTTTCCCCTTTGGAATGTCCATTGAAATCCTCAAAAAGGCTGCAGTTTGGAATTTCTGCAGGAGATGCAATGAATTTACCTTTGCTCCTTGGGTTTTCTTCTCAAATCAAAGTCAGTCACAGTGGACGTGCTAGAAGACAACATACTGTGTTGTTTTGGCTTTAAATGGTCCTTATTTCAAGGTGAAAGCTGGCATGTCCACCACTCCTATCATTTTTACCTCCAATTGAGCCAGTTCCAATCCGCAGAGTCCAAACCCAAATGTCATTTGGATTCACTGACCAGGACACTCCTCCTTTCTTAACGTTTCTCCTTCCTTGCGTTGAGTTGGAGGAGGTTTTATCCTCCAGACAGCTCCGTGTGAGGCTGAAATAGCACAAAAGCTTCTTGTCTTATGATGTTTCAGCTCTGGCCTCTCGAGAAGATGAACTCTTTCATCACCCCAAGCCCCCTGAATAGCTGCAAGGCCGCCTATGGATTATTATATGTAATGTTGTATTGAACACAACCCCAGGCACTGAACTCTCCTGGGTTATAGAGGTCCCTGAGGGATCAGGGACATGTTCCAGCCTGTGAGACAAAACTGACCTCGAAGGAAGCCAATTATATGTAGATAACATCCTCTTCTGACCCCTCGTCTCCAGCACTGCGGTTTTCCTTTGCCTCGAGTCTTGCAATCCCTTGGTCTCTGTGGACAACCCCACAGCACACCCTCTAATCATAGAACCATAGAATCCAGGCTGGTTTGGGTTGGAAAGGACCTTAAAGCTCCTCCAGTTCCAACCCCTGCCATGGGCAGGGACACCTTCCACTAGAGCAGGTTGCTCAAATGCAGCTTCTCCATCATGATGGGACCGAGCCTTGTCACTCCTACAGATCCAACCCCCTGGTCTGCACCAATACTTGCCTCCCTTGTCCATCCCATGCACTAGACCTGGCATCCTGCTCCCTCCCCATTTCCTACATGTCCACTCATACGCTGTCTCCCCAGATCCTTTCCCTCCTGCACTGCTGAGGCACAGCAGCACCTTGGCTCCTTTTCCCATTACATCAAGTTCTCAGCTCCTTGTCTTCACTCCTAGAGACTTCCCCATCCCCAGAGCACGCTGCACTGTGTCCCTGCAGACATCCCCATCACTCCTCTCCAGCACTCATCCGTATAGGAATGCTTATAGAAGCTCATGGTGACATTCCTGGGATCTGTGGGTGGCAAATAGCAGGCAAGGCAGAGGAAAGGATAAGAAAAAACAGCTGGCATGAGGATAAAGCTTGGAATGCAACGAACGCCAACATAAAAGGGTGTGAGAGAATTATATTCCTGGTGCATAAATCTTCCTTCTGCTTAGACACCTCCATCCTTAAGGACAAAAGGAAAAGTCTATTAATAGAAAGCAAACAAGAAAACATAGCAGGTGACCTGCTTTATTTGTCTGGCTTAAGCGTGGGATTACAGCCGTGTTTAGAAATGTCAATAAAGGCTCCATCAAATTCTTACCTGTTGTTCCCTTGTTTTCTGGGAATAGGAGGGATTTGCAGCAGGTCATTCAGCTTAAGAATCCTGTGGTGCAATTTGATGAGGGCAGAAGGAAAGGGAAAAGGAAAGGAAATGCAGGGATAGGGTGTTGCCACAATGAGGTGCTGTCAGTGGGTTTTCCTTGTTAAATGCAATTCTTGCAGTAACAAAAATCCAAGCAAGAACATGTGTTCTGCAGGGTTTGGGGGGTGTCCTTTCAGGTGGGGAATGGGATTTGGGAAGATAAAGAGAAAGGAATAGAGAGGGAAAAGATGATGGTATAAGGGCTCTACAGGGGCAATGTAAAGCTGATCTGCCACCTAAAACTTCAGAGTTTAGTAAAGTTCTGGATATCAAGAAGAAACAGCTATTTAAAGCCTTGATCCTCTCCCAAATGTGGCTTTATGAGCCGTATTTCCTGTCTCAAATCACCTCTCCCGTGCTTCCTCCTTAGGAAATAAGAGAGGTGGCACTTCCATAGCTGGTGACTAGTCCAAGGCGTTCCCATGAAGAGGTGTCTGGGGCTAAATGATAAGCAGGAATCCTGGAGCCCGTGTAGGTCAAACCCTCTGGATGAGACCTTGCCCTTTATAAAAGCTTTATTTCTTTTGCCCCAATGGGGTACATCATCATGATGCTGCTTGAGGGTGCCCAGCACCATGCTGGGAGTGTGAGCTTTGTGATAAACTGTGGTTTAGGTGGTGAGAAAAGAGCCCAGAGCAACTAAAGACATGAAGAACACAAACAATGTGGGTTTGTTGATCTACACAAACTGTATTTTAGAACCCATATGTACTCAGCAGACATTACGGCTCATCATTCCATATCCTACTGAAAACAGTGCAAAGGAAACGTTCAGGAATTCCTATTTCCCTGGAAATATCCAGAGAAACTGGCATCCAAGCCATGCTGGAGGTGAGAGTTTTCTGCCGGGGTGTTTGAGTAGTGCTGACCACAGACAGGATTCCTTTTTCTTCTTCTTTATGTCTTTTATGTGTCCTACAGGGAGAAAAGATGGAAGCGCTTCCCCTACACCCATGCACATGCTGGCAATATCGAGTCTTTCTCCCTAAGATGTATGTAGGGACACTTTTCTCCCTGTACTGATCATACGTTAACCGTGACTAAGTTGAGGTTGTGCAATAGTCCTGCAGATAAGGGAAAACCTGGAGCTTGATCTCCATGGTTTCACCTTGCTGGAGGAGCTCTATATGAATTCCAGGTGTCTGTCTTCTGGGATGTTGTATTTAGCTTTGTGCTCCTCAAAGAGCTTGGTCAATTCCTTTACGTATTTCTCATGGACTCTCTCTACCTCTTCCTCGGAGGGTTTGTAGTTCCTCTGCACTGGAATTGGTTTCCCCACTGCAAAACAAGCACAAGCATTAGGAGGAGACAGTGCCAGGTCCCTCTGAACACTTTCCATGTCTCAGCATAGAGTTGGGGTCCACCTCTCCAGGGTGGATGGATTGATACGACTGGTCATATCCTGGGGTTTGGGTGGTAGCACAACCAGGAGGTAGGGAGATGGAGGTCCCGATCCTGACTCTGCTGAAGGTCTTGAAGGTCACATCTGTCCTTGCCTCAGTTTCCCCATTTGCAAAGCTGGTTAATGCCAAAGATCCCCCTTGTAGCTCTTTGAAGTGAAAGTGCTGCATCCCAATGCAGTCCCTACAGCCTGACATCTCAGCTGTGCTGCACATAAAGACAATGGGGTTGGGGTTTCCAAGCTGTTCCCATGTGGCCCTGGGAATCTGCATGGCAAAAGGGGCAACTGAGGCACAGGAGAGCCCAAGACTACTTAAAACACTAGAGACTGGGATGCTTCTACTTTGCTCAGATTAAAGCTTCTGGGAAACATCTGATTTTTATTAGGAACTAAGCGCCCACCTCTCTCTATAAAATCATTATTTTCCCAAGGATAAATCTAAACAATTTGATTTCCATCAATAG